AGGTTTTATTGGGACCCATGTTCTCTATCCTTGAACCGAACACAGTGGCTATATGCCCGGCAGCCGGCGTATATCTGATGGCTGCGCGGCAGGTCTTCGATTTCCTAAATGCCCGCGCAGTTTTTAATTTTAGCGTTATCTCAAGTAAACAAGGGTTAGGGTTAGAGTTAGGATTAGCGGTTAGGGTTAGGGTTAGGTTTAGAGGCCTAGAGTTAGGGTTTTGTTAGGGTTAGGCGTTTAGGGTTAGAGTTGTAGGTTAAGAACTGCCGGCCATTTAGGAAAACGAAGACCGTGCCCGGCTGCGCGGATATATATAGCCCCAGCGGGGTGCAAAATCCCACTTTAGCACCTTATATCACGAAGTGATGCACAGATTTCTGTGTATCACCCACTGATGCGCAGACTTTCTTATATCAAGGATTGATGCACAAATGTTTAACTGCCCATATAGCCATGCTAAAAAGCGCCACCTATCGGACAAAAATAATACATATTATACCACTAAAAAATTATGTTGTGCATTTTTATTTTTATTATATGATTTTTATTAATTAAACTATTAATACTAATTACCAAATACACTATATGTTTATTAAGTACACTATAATTACTAATCTACACTGTTAATTACTAATTACACTATTAATTACTAATTATTAATTACACTATTAATTACGAGAGAGGAAGAGGAAGCCATGATGGTTAGAGGGAGAGAGGAAGCCGTGATGGTTAGAGGGAGAGAGGAAGCCATGAGGGTTAGAGAGAGAGAGGAAGCTGTAATGGTTAGAGGGAGAGAGGAAGGGGGAAGCCGCGACATGCCTGAGAGAGGAAGGGAGAAGCCGTGATGGTTAGAGGGAGAGAGGAAGCCGTGATGGTTAGAGGGAGAGAGGAAGCGGCATGATCGGCTCTGCAATGTAATTTACATCAATATAAATATAATATTACATCAATATAATAGGTTAGGGTTATGGTTAGGGTTAGGATTAGGGTTAGGGTTAGAGTTAGGGTTAGAATTAGGGATAGGGTTAGGTTTAGGCACATTGATTTTATTGGGACCCATGTTCTCTATCCTTGGACTGCCGGAACGTACCTTGGGTATACCGGACCGTACCCTGGTAACTATCTGATACGGTTAAAACTTATGGTTAGGGAGTAGGCGCAGGCGACTCCCTAGACTCGTTAGTTGAGTAGGCGAGGTACGGTCTGGCATATTAGATACCCTGTACCGGCGTATTTGGACGCTCGCCCGAAACTGGATGCTCCTAAGTGCGCATGCGCGCAGGCGCCTCTTGTTTTGCAAGGGCGTACACAGCGCATGCGCAATATGCGCATTGCCATTAGTCATCTGCGCATCTTGCCCTTCGACACGGTCGCAATAAACAAACATGGCGGACTTCCCTGTCACTGATGGAAACATTTGATTGAAACAATTTGCAATATGTAGTAAATTAGTAAGACTGTGTTATGTGTGTCAGGTTACAAGGCGAAACAAAACAAAACAAAAGAGCATGTCTACTATTTCCTACGACCGTGCAAAACAAGATTCAAACAAAAAGAAAACAAGAGCAAAACAAAAGAGCATGCCTACGGAGCGTCCAAATACGCCGAGCGTCCAAATACGCCGGTACAACCCTACGTAGTACTAACCCAACCAGGCTGTGTGACTAACGTCAATATACAGCCTGACATCCATTCACTGAAAAATCGTGTACTCTACAAAAACTACCGAACAATTACGTATATATCTCAAATAAAATAATCATCTAAGCATTTCTGCCTTGTTTTGTATCAAGTATAACCTTCACCTTATACTATAGTATTCCAGCATTGTTATTAAAACTAATACCTCAGTTGACAGTTCGCTGTGCACAGTGTAAATTTCAAGAGCCGAACCGAAATTTCAACCAACCGCCAACCGCTTTAAATAGCTTTTCGATCGGAACGCGGAAAACCCGAAACGACATAACATACCATAGCGTTGCAACTCGCGTTGGCGCGAGCATAAATAAGCATCATATACTCGTATATATATAAATATTAAAACACTAAAAACAGCAATCTACAACAACTTAATAATTATCATTGCGAAGATATGTACTTGCCTTGTGTTTAGGCCTACGCACTGAAAATCAGGTCCATTGCCAATTTTATTCGCACCGAACATGGCGGACATGGCAGCTTTCTTGTTGTGTTCATCCAATTAATCTCAGAAAATACGGCATAACTCGATAAATAAGTAGCGCCCAGTTACCGCGAGCAAGCCAGAGGTTTATAGATTCGTTTGAGATATTACATGTGACGCTAGCTGTGTCGATGTTTGGATACCGAGCCAACTACACGTTTTTATGGGCAAGAATTTGAAACGGTATTCTAACCCTAGCAATACCGTTTCTTGGAGCTAACGTAGTACCAGCAGAGCATATAATATTATAAATTACGTTGATTTATATGCTCTAGTACCAGGGTACGTTCTGGTATACCGGACCGTACCCAGGGTACGTTCCGGCAGTATCCTGGGGTGACATAGACCCTCTCAGCGTGGCTACGCGCACAGACACTTGGAGCGTTTCAATAAACAGAGTGGCTATATGCCCGGCAGCCGGCATATATCTGACGGCGGCCGGGCACGGTCTTCGATTTCCTAAATGCCCGGTGTTACATTATGCGTTGTGCGAGTAATCAAAGAGAGAAAGCCATTGATGAAGGAGACTGGTTTATTGGCAACTGCCTTTACGATCAGCCATGCTGCTAATTGTGGCGCCATCTGTGGTTACAAACATTATACCCTTGAGATGTTGTAATAACACAAATACAATATTGTCACACCCGGCAGTTTTTAATTTTCAGCGTTATCTCAAGTAAACAAGGGTTAGGGTTAGGAACTGCCGGGCATTTAGGAAATCGAAGACCGTTCTCGGCTGCCGGGCATATAGCCACAGCGTTCAATAAAATATAATGCTAAATAAATTCGAAATCTATTTACTACCAAAGTCTTAATGTTTCTATACTCTCTTTCAAATTGTGGCGCTAGGGTTTTCTGGGTCAGGCACATCATGCGAAACAAATTTCAACGTTTTGAATATTTTGTTGGCTTGTTTACCTCCCATACAGTAGATAAGTGAGTCCCTTTGTACTTCTCCGTCTTCTTTGTGAAGTTTAGTGGCCTTTCGAAATTGTCCGAATTCCTCTATCCACTCACTCCATTCTTCAGCTTTGAACGTAAACTTGGCAGGGGGGTCATATCGTGCCATTTTCTTGACAATGACTTGTGATTCCGGGGCCACCGGTATCAAACTGTAGACTCACCCTTTAGACACAAACGTCCGCGTTGTTCTGTCAAGCAGCACTACAATGTGTACTTGAAACTGTTCTTGAAGTCACTTCTAACACCATGTCATGATTGTGTAAACCCAAACAAGAGATTTAACTTCATGTAGATTCGTTTTATTTAGGAAACGTAGCTGAGCAGAACACGAGATTACAAACCGCCATGCCGAACCCCGTAGCTCCCCCTGGCTCTCAAATATCTAACTAAAAGATAGACAACTCTCCTACAGGGCGCTACCGTCATTAATCATTATGACACTGTTATCATAAGTTTTCTCATAACTGCGATGCGTTTCTGTCAACGATATTCTTGTAACACTAACATTAGTTGTAAGTGTTATCTTAGCAGTGACATTAGCATTGACTTTACGATGTTTCTGACAACGGCCCCCTGTACCATATCATCGCAGAATTACTGGATAATTATTGGAACACCTTGATTCTAAAACAATGTTGTATTTACCTCTTTATTGCACTTGGCCCGGGTTTTCGTTTCGGAAACGATGAGGCCTAGTATACTGCCATTGTAAATAGCTGCGAGCGCATAGAACTCGGGGTTTGAGGTAATCTCCTTGTACCATACCTCAGGATACCTGAAAACATGAAATACAACATGATCTTCTATTGCCGCCAGTGTTTTTTTTAATCAGTTCAGCAGTGCAACAGGGCTCATCTGATGTCTGCTATTCTGCTGATAAATGCATAGCAAGATGTATTTTAGTCTGAGAGGTGTTGACAGATGTGCTGAAACATGGGAAGGCATGTGAATGGTATCATGAAGGTTGTACAATTGGGGGCGGAATAGACATTTGTTATACCAGAGGCGTGGGAGGTCGCTTGTTAGCATATTTGGTGATGTGTGTCGTGAGATTGCGCGTGTACTATTGAGAGTGTACGACCATCTAACTTTGTGAAAAGGTGGTTGCATTTAGTAAAAAAGTACCTTCGGCACAAGGGAGGAGAGTTTTTTTAAACTAGGTTTTAAATCCTCATCCCTTGTACAGGTACCAACTTACTGGAGGGCTTACTAATAAAAGCTAAAGCTGCAAGGAATATTGATACACACTCGATAGGGAACCAGTCCTTGCAGAGAGCCTTCACATCATCGATGTCGTCGGGGACTAGGAAGCGTAGCTGGATCTCGCTTACGATACAGTCCCCACGTCCTGATTGCATTCAAATCTTCCTGGGTGATTACTTAATTGTCATCTTTCAACAGAATCAATGAAAATTGGTTAATATTACTTAATAGATTCGTGTAATGTGGACTGTCTATAACCACAGGCACTTGGACCGGTTCAATAATAAAATTATTACAAATAAATACAAATTATATTTACTACCGAAGTCTTAATCTTTATGTATTCTCTATCGATTAATAATTCCATGTCAATGCTGTTTAAATGCTGCTCTGCAACACAGCCTCACTGCATGCATGTCGCTGTGCACAAACTCACAGAAAAATAGAGCAGGTGCGCAATCATGAGCGCCAAATTTGCATGCTCACTTCTTTTAACATCATTGCAGCAAAATACAGATAAGTACATAAGCCATTTGCACACGGTGCGCATTTGGCGCGTGCCAACAGCGCTGAGCAAGAAAAATCATACATGATAGATATTTTGCGTGCCCCACCATGTGCGGGGGCCTTTATTGAAACAGTCCAAGTGCCTGTTGATATAACTATAAATAACTAGTGGCTCACGCATGCTGGTCGCTACAGCGTAGATACAATAATGTAACCCAACAAGAGTAGGGGCCCTACTCTTGTTGGGTTACATTATTGTATCTAGCTACGGCGGTGCTCCCGAGTAAATTTATTTTTATCAGAAAACTATCGACAACACGTTTGCTATGCCAGTATTATTAATTATTGTGTACCACAACCAGCAATAAAACTAGTTTAAACAGTATATTTAGCGGCAGTTGTAATGATTTTAGTGCATTGTAGACATGAAGTATTGTGGGACATGTTAACTAGACTAGAGTAGGGCCAATCATTGCGCCAGTTGCGCCTTGCGGTTCAGCCTCAGGCACTGAGTTAGTAAGATTTTAATTACTAATCTAAAATAATGTAATAGTAATACATATAAATAAATACGCACACACATTTCTTAAGTATAATGAAGCAAAATGTAATTCCCAGGAAGGGAAGATAAAACGGCAGTGAATGAGTTTTGTTCGGAGAAAATTTTGTTCGTTAAAGAAAACATCACACAGACAAATGAGCATGCTGTAAGTTCACATGCAGCGCGCGAGCGCCAGTGCTGCGCCACAAGTATGAACTGATCAATCATGGCGACCTCGGATGATATAGCTTGGTCGTCGGGGAGACATTCCTCCCAACCTCGTTCCAGGAATTCCATAAACTTTGTCAGGAACGAAATT